GAGAGAGAGAGAGCTAAGCAAGCAAGCGAGAAGCGAGAGCGAGAGAGAGACAGAGAGAGAGAGAGGAACCTTTTTCCGGTTCGCTTTCCAGGATTCCCCTGCGATTCGGTTGTTGAGGTTCCGGTTCGGTTCCACGGCCTTCCTGCTATCTGTAAATCACTGTAAGGAGGGTTTCGCTTGAGTTGGGATTTTTGGGCAACTCACTGTTTCAACATTTGCTGATCCAGCACCTTCACGGCCTAAAACCCCATAGACGTCGAAACCTCGATAGGCGGAGAGAGTTCAGCCTTCCAAAGAAGAAGAAGGCTCAGCTCGAAGTCATACCCCAATCAAAGCTGCAATCAAAAGCTACTTTAAACCCTACACCCTAGCCCTGTCCCCAAAACCTAAACCCTAAACCCGAACCCTAAACCCTAAACCGTGCTCCAAGGCTTGCAGCGGGCCCTGACGGGCAGACGTCATGGCACCCGGTTGAGTTGAGGTCTCTTAGGCTTAGGGAGTTTAGGGTCCAGGGTTTAGGGGTTTAGGGTTTAGGGGTTTAGGGTTCTGGGTTTCGGTTTCGGAGCGTAGCGTATGGTCCCTAAACCCTAAATGCGGATCCTGCTGAGAGACTCACGTCTCCGAGGCCCTGTGGCTACCAGACATTGAGATATGTGGCGCATGCCTGCGCCAAGGCTGGAAATCCGGCTTCGTTCAAGTCCTGCAAGAGGGTTTCGGGTTTAGAGCTCAAGAGCTGCATGAAAGGTCGTCCAGCAGCCCTAAACCCTAAACCCTAAACCGGCCACACAAAAAGCCGCGCAAGAGACTGACCTGCGAAACACGCTCCAGCTGAACTTGCTCTAGTGTTTCCTGTATTCTGACGGAATGCTTCAACTTGGGCGCTTCCCTAAGCCCTAAACCCTAAACCCCTAGACCCTAAGCCCTAAACCCCTAAACCCTAAACCGTTCTTATTCCGCCCTTTGAAGGTCGGGGCTGTGGAAGCAGCCTACCACCTGTCCCGGCTGCAGATGAAGTGCGGGCGGCAGGGCGCCTACTTTTTTGCGGGCTAGACTTGCTCAAAGCCTGGCCGATAGAGCAAAACTGAATCAGGTTTAGGGTTTCAGGGTTTAGGGTTTAAAGTTTAGGGTTCAGGATTTAGGGTTTCGGCGCCAGCTCAAGCCGTATATCAACTACACGAAGGCAAATGGTGAGTGTACCCCTGAATCCTGAACCAGGACCAAGTACATCACTGCCGGCTCGCGCGTCTTCCAAAGCACGCTGGAGGCATTTTGCGGAATCGTCGTATTTTCTCGGTTCAGGGCTGCGGGCTTCGGGTTTACTGCTTCAGGGGTTTTTGGTATCATTGCAGAAGGTGTGGGAGTTGCTGTGCAAAGATCATCCCGTCCGACGGCTTAGATTGTGGCGTGCCTTCGTGTCTCTATCAGAATGCTGTCTCACCGTGGGTGGATGGCTGCGTCTTTTTTTGCTTTGAATCTTACAGGCAGCTGGGTTTTGCCCTGCCTTCTTGAGTTTGCTTCCATGTAAGGCCTCCCCACTGGACGTTGTAGTGCTCACGTGTGGGCGGGCATGCGCGAGAAGCTTGAACTGAGCTATACCGAGCCCTTGATGCCAATTGCGTTCGGCACCTTGGACTGTAAGCGTCTTGATTGGCCTGGAGATACTCGCGGGTGGTTCCGACTTAATGCTGTTAAGCGTTTGCTGCTTCTCTCCACAGCCTGTCACTGTCAACAAGATACCCTAAACCCTAAACCCTAAACCCAACAAGTTACCAGATCCATCCCTGGCAGTCTTCCGCTCTTTACTTGCAATCCACCGCGGAGCAGATGCCCAAGCTGCTGGCAGGAGCCGTTAGGTCCGAGTTTCCAGGTTGAATGTAGGGTTGGAGCTGAACCCAAGTGGATTCGTCTGCCCAGCCATGGTGCGCTTGCAACTTTCTACGCTTTGAGTGCCATCAGACCACCGAAATTGTCTGTCCAGGACATGGTGCACGAGTTTCACAAGAGATCGAGAGCTTGCTGGAGATCAAGGACACCCTGTAACAACCTTTAAGGTGGCGATTGATTCCCATTCAATCATTCAGATTTGCGCAAAGACAAAACCAAACGATCAATTTCAAGCTCAGCCTCAGGCACCGGAACCTTCGTCAGCACCAAAAATGTCCATCGATGCAAGTTGCCTTGGATACTTTGCTCCAGCCCCTAAGCTTTAAGCCAGCACACAACGACCCAAAGCCTGAATGGCTTTGGAAGTCACAGCAACCAGCCTCGCAGCTTCATCAGAAGTTCACCAGGCTAGGCTCCAGACGTAATACGCTTTAAGGGCTTTCTTTGTCTCCTTGTTAAGACTGAACATCAGGATACAGAGTATCCTTATCATCAGTCGAAACTCCAACCTCCGCTTCATCGCCAAAAGTTCGGCTCACCTCGGTTGTTTCTACTTCGACAGACCCATGCTTTTGGGGGTCTAAACCCGAGGCATAAGTCCCAAATCCTGAATCTACTTTTACGGAAGCAGTTGAAGCCTTTGCTACGCGCTACGCCAGAAAACGGCCTCAACCATTAAACCCCCGCAAGCTTCAACCCCAAAAAAATTAGCCTTTTCGCCGTAGAAACACATTGCCGGGACGGTTTAGGGCTTAGGCTTTAGGGTTTAGGGCTACCGAGAACTAAAAGGTGCTCTCAAACCCTAAACTCTTTCAGAACGACATTCTGGCGCTCACGCCGAACCGACGCTCTCGGATGCTGACCGAGGCGTTGGGCTTTTCTGGAAGGGTCTATGAGGTTTACTTTAACTGTGTCAATGGGTTTGGGGGTTTAGGGTTTACATGCGTTTGCTAAAGCTCTGCAACTTCTGATCCCACTGAAGGCAGATTAAAGTGCCTGTACCCCATTCAGACCTTTAACCTTCAAGCAGGGATTGGGGGTGATGAAAGCATTTTCGTTCGGAGCTTGTGGAGCCTCTGTGTTTCAGACTGATAGTTTCAGCCGTTGACGATTCAGGAGTTACACTAGGCTTCGGGTCCGTTCAGGGCTCGACTCATTATGAGTTGGTGCACGAACACAGGTTTAGTTGATGTTGGGGTGAGGGCTTCAGGGTGTTGCGGGTTTTGGCAGTGTGGAGCGCAGATGTTGGTCGGACTGCAGGCGTTCAACCAGCTCATTCGCTGGTATGGCCGTGCACGGCTGGTTCCACAGGCAGGTCTTCCCTTTTAATCCAGTTGTTGGGTGCTTCGAAAGCAAGTTTGGGGTTTGCGCATGCGTAGCAAGGTTCTATCTTCGCTTGAGTCGGCCTCACAAACTGTTTCTAGTGCGCGCTGGAGGGTTCTTAAAGTCTTAAGAGTCAGGGAGATTCGACACAACGGAATTCCACGCGCATGTCCGTACCGCTCGCCAGCCATTTTCTGGCGGCTTTGCATGCCTCATTTGCTCGATGTATCGCCACAGTCCTGTCCCGCACTCCGAAGCGAGTGGGGGCTCGGGCATCCCGCTTTAACATGATTCAAAACAGGCGCCCACGGCATAGCAAGCCAAAATGGGAAGCGACAACAGTGATGATTTATGCCGCCCTGATGTCCACACTCTTGTGGAGGCCATTCGTGCTTGCGAAATCATGAATGAGCTCGGAGTTCCACGAGCCGGGCACTCCAGTTTCCGTTGATGCGGCTTGCTGCATAAGCATCATTGCAAGACAGTAGACATGCTGCGGGTCACTAATCTAGCAACCATGCTCGCCAACCAGCTTTACATGCCGCCTTGCACTTGGCTGGCCGGACCCTGCATGAATCATGACCGCATCTCGAGAACGACATGACCCTGCACTTCTTGAGCCGCGGCTGTGCGCAGCAGCTCCTTGACGGCAAGGGCGATTTGTTCGGTTCTTGGTCCACTTCAGAAGGATCTCTCAGAGGCTGCGTTAAATGTCCGGTTGCTTCCTTCATGGCACGTTTTGAGCTCTGAAAAGTCTAAAACGGTCATTTCATGGGTGAGAATAAGTACTTTAAGAACCCTAAAACCGAAACCTAAGCCCTAAACCCTAAAACCGAAGCCTAAAAGGTTGCCATAAGAAGGGCTCAACTCGGAATCCGCTCCCCCACGCCCGGTCCCGCAATCCAGAGAACCCAATACACCTTAAATTAAGGAAGATACCTTAAATTACAGGGGCCTTAATATTATGATTTAAGGTATTTTCCTTAATTAAGGGGTATTGGGTTCTCTGAGAATCTCCCAGGTACAGATGTTTGAAGAAGGCTGGCAGGTGCTGGGCTGAGAAGATGAGGAAAGAGAGACTCGAAGAACAGGGGCTCAGGGCTTAGGGGTTTGCAAGGGTTTAGGGTTTTAGGGAAAGTTTAGGGAATTGGGTTTTAATGGGTTTAGGGGTTAGGGTCATGGTGGCCCAGATTGTAGATGGGGTAACGTGTCTATCACTTTATGAGGAAAGTGGCTGCACCTTGCACTGAATGACACCAGCGAAAGCTTTGTTTGCAACGTCGAACTCCGCCCACAAAGCCGAAGTGAGTCTTGTGAGACACAACCCTAAACCCTAAACCGTCGATTATCATGTTCCACAAGTGCCAGGTACACGCAGGCGCCCCTTGACATGCCTGGACATCGGCCAGAGGTTCTCTTCATCGGGCGCACGAACTCAGCCCCCTGCCTTGTTGTTACGCATTTCCTCTGCCCCTGCGGTTTAGGGTTTAGGGTTTAGCATGGTCAAAACAATTGTAGGTGGTGAGTGATGTTTACTTGCCTCCATCCCGATTGCATTGTGCGTCATAGGGTCGAATGCAATGAACAGTTGATGACTGTCGGATCTCTCCTACCATGCCAGGGCAAGTCGTCCATGATCAATGCACTTTTCAGTTCTCTGACGAAGGCGCATTTCGTGGTGTCTCGCGCCACATCTTCGCTTGTGCATTGCACCTGTAGTCGAGACGAGTCACCCGAAGTTATCCCCTAAACCCTAAAACATAAACCCTAAACCGTTATCGGCCCTGCAGACCCTAGTGAGCGATGAGCCGGAAAGGAACCCCCAAAGCTTGCAAGACCATGAGTGCCTGCAGTTCGCGCCCGCCTCCAAAACGCGGGCTTTTACCCGGAAGCTGCACTTCTACGAGGTCATGGTGTGGGTTTGAGGAGTCTATGGGTTTCCGACTGCCGCCTGCCTTCCCAGTTGTCTGAGCTGATCTTCCTCAGACCCGCCTCAGAGGGGACTAACAGGGGCCTAAGGGCAAAAGTTTTGGCAAGGAGGCACAAGCATGAAACGGAAAGGCACTTGCTAAGACCCACCACCGACTTGGACTCAACCTAAGGCGGCATAGGACGGCAAGCGAACTCCAAAAAGCAGGCCGATAGACCCAAAAGGGTCGGAGGTTAGATAAGTTGCCCAAGGGTTTAGGGTTCGAGTTTCAGAAAAAGGACCCCCAATGTAAAAGTTCAACAGTCCAACAATAATGGGATTCTACATTGCAAACCCACGAACGAGTGGACCTCGAATTCGAAGGCATTGAACTTGAAGGGATTGCTGAGGGTTCTGACATGGCTCTGATTAGGGAGGATTGTTTTACATCAATCAAACCTATACATCCACCCCCTAACCTTCTTAGGAACAGAATTACCCTAAACCCTACTAGAGTTACTTTGTGTTTTTCAGGCTCTATGAGGGCACCACCAGTGCAAGGGCCCGGGCTCGAGCGGTGTCGGGTTTTGGGATGGTTTTTCTCCAGAATGTGGGGTTTAGGGTTTCGGGTTTTGGCTTCGGGATTTCGAGGTGGACTCAGATCCCAGGGGCTCTCGACAGCACAAGATCTCCGCCAGTGCAGGACAGGGCCCTCGATTCACTCTGCACGCCAGGTCAACCGAGAGAGAGCCGGGCTACCTCACTTCATGCTAGCCTGGAGCTTAATCCCAGCTGTCAAGAGCTTGGGTGGCAGAACCTCAGAACACGTGAGTTCGCACTGCAAGTCCAAAGACATGACCACCGTTCGAGAAAACCAGCCAACTCTCTCATGATTTTTCGGACTTGAAGCTGAGATCTTACAGTGACTAATCTTGAGGTGGATTCGCCTGGTCTGGGATGCGCTGACATCCCTAACGCGGCTAAGATCACCAGGCGCTAGCATGCACTTGTTCTGGTAATTCACCGCGTGTTCATTCCCGTGCTCAGGGAGTTTCCAAACATGATCTTCGAGTACCTCCGAAATCGCAATGCATTGAAGCCCTGCCCTTATCGAATGTTTGTTTCCATGTTTGGTTGATGCCCTGCCGACTCCCTTCCGGGCCTAATGTGATTCTAGGTTTAGCCCCCTGAGCACCAAGGCATATCTTCCACCTCGTTGACGCCAGAAACCACAAGCTTCTTGACAGTTAGGCTTTGCAAGATTGTATAGTTCATCACCTTGAAACCTAGAGAAAGGCTTCTGCCTGCTGACAAGCAGCTGCTTCACTTGGTCGCAAAAGCCCAGTGTGCGCCTCAGGGCCATCAATTACAGACTGAAGCAACATCAGGAGGAGGAGTAGGGGTGTGGTAGTGTAGTCGTAGTCACAGTCGTCGTTGTCGTGGCAGTTACTGGCAGTGGCAGTTGCATTGGGTGATTTTCCTTGGGTGTCCTTGCCAGGCGACGCAGCGTGAGGTACACCATTGCCCGGCCCTTAGACAAAGTCCACATGTGAGAATTCGGTTCATGGAGTGAGAAAAAAGTGCTCTGTGTGGTGTTACGGACTTCATTGTACACAACTTGGCCGTCTACGGAAGCAGTTTTCGAAGTATTCCCCAAGCTGCTTCCCGAAGATCTGAATTGAAGTCAGCTGTCACTCAATAAGCATTGCTGTCTGAGGTCATCACGAAAATTGACGTCTGCAAACGAAAGGCACGGGTCAAGCGGCTTTGAGTCTTTGTGATTGGCTTGTCCAGCGATCTGCGCTCATGTTTGCTGTTGTGCGAGTAAGCCTTGCATCACCCACTTGACAGTGCTGGCTAATAGAGAGCAAAAGCACCTGTCCTATACCGTAAACCCCAAACCCTAAACCCCTAAACCCCAAACAATAAACCCTAAACCCTAAACCCCAGACCCTAAACCCCAAACCCTAAACCCTAAACCCTAACACAGCCTTCCTCAGCGAGCGCAGGTCGCCAACAGCACAGCTCAGCGCATCCGGGAGGCGCCCACATCCTAGTATTGCCTAGTATGTGATATTATATACAGTATATTAAAGTATAGTATTATAGTATATTGTAAAAAGTATATATACACTATTATATTAAAGCATAGTAGAATTATAGTATATTTTTTTGTAGTATAGTGTCAGCAGAATGTCCTGTGCAGAAGGAACTGGCCCCCTACTGCGACGTGGACATCATGTTTGCCAGCGCACGGGCTCTGCGAGGCTGCTTGATGCAGCGGTCCGGGAGACATGCAAGAGATTCTTCACACCTTAAAGATTACAGAAGAAACTGTGAGAAGCATGTGGGGCAAGACTTGCCGGAAGCCTGCAGCAGGTGTGGATCACCTCTGGTCCAAGATCTGGCAGTCTGTGACGGAGACACCACGTGGCCGGAGACACCGGGTCGGCCCCAGAAGTCCCAGGGTTCAGAGGGGTTAGGGTTTAGGGTTTAGGGTTAAGCGTGACCGTTCCGTCAACAAGAGATGTTTCTCGCCAGGACATTGGCAGGAAAGAGTTGGAGCGACTGAATAAAGAAGGGCCGAACGCTCTGAAAGCCTGCTCCTGAGTGCTTGTGATACCTTGGCACGAACTGACATCATGGAAGAGTTTGCTGGCTGCAGGCTCCCAACTTGTCCGAACTGTTGGAGATCCCGGATTACCAGAGACCGCAGGAAGTGCAAAGAGATGAAAGAGTGAGAAAGGGAGACAACGCACTTACACAAGAAAACGGTTCAAGATCTCGGACAACTGCAGTGTTAAGCAGGAGGTAGACATTTGAGGGATTCAGTGTATTTATTCACTTCTGCAGGATTTTGACGAAGAGGATTTCGAAGAGGCGCGGTGAGAATGCAACCTTGCTGGCAGTTGGTTGGTGGCGCACGGTGCATCCAAGATAAAGTAGGTGGTACGTGGAAGGTGGCAGGTGGTAGGTCGTAGGTAGTCGGTAGTAGGTAGTAGGTAGTAGGTAGTAGGTAGTCGGTAGTCGGTAGTAGGTAGTTGGTAGTTGGAGTTGGTAGTGGTTGTGGTAGTGGTGGTAGTAGTAGTAGTAGTAGTAGTAGTAGTAGTGTAGTAGTAGTGTAGTAGTAGTCGTAGTAGTAGTAGTCGTAGTAGTCGTAGCAGTAGCAGCAGCAATAGTAGTAGTAGTAGTAGTAGTAGTAGTAGCAATAGCAGTCGTAGTAGTCGTAGTAGTCGTAGTAGTCGTCGTCGTAGTAGTAGTAGTAGTAGTATGGTATAAAACTGCTTTGCGTTTGGCAGGCTTGGGTGAGCAGTCTTCATTGCAAGCTGACCTTGAGCCACACGTGGCATTTTGGCTCAAGCTGACCCAAAACGGCTTAGAGTTTTCTTTTTCCGCGGAGGTACCGCGTGCTATGTCG